GGACTTCTTTTTGCATCACTCATTTGGCTCTGAAGCATAGTTTATATCCTCATTACCTTTAGTCTTTAACTTTTTAAGTAATCTCTTGCATTTGAAAAGCAATGATATACTTTAAAAGGTCCAGTTCTGCTTGCACAGCAGTGGCTGGCTTTACTTTGCTATGAAAGGAGGAACTGACCTTAATGCTCCACTTGATCAAAAGTGTTTTAAAGTAAGTTTTAAAGGTCAGACAAACCAAGGAGCGTCAAATAATTGCATAAGTAGCTGGCATAATAAATAGTTAACTATATGCTTTCTCTAACGCACTGGTAAACTGGACAAATTGGCAGGATGCTCGTGAGCTACGTCTCTTCAATAGAAGAGCTTCCAAAACAAGCAAACCCTGCATGGTTATGTTTGTATTATTCTTGCTTAATCTGAAGCAATCTTGTTTAAAAAAAGAATTGATCAGTGCCCAGCAAGATTTCGTGATTAAAAACAAAACAAAAACCCCACAACCAAGCGCATTGGGTCAACAGTCCTCCTGATGTCATTTTTCTCATTTCAATAAAACAACACCAGGAATGCCTGTGATCTGCACCACATACTTGCCAACAAACTCTGATCAATGTACTACTAAGATAGTAAGAATAATAACAAAAAAGCAGAGAGTGAAACTGGTCCCTTTCCTGCTGCCAGTGACGGGCAAAGTAAAGACCTGTCGTTTGCTCCTAACAGTCAGCATGAATGATAGCAATATGAATGCTAATTACACTATTTGTTTTCTCTTTCATTTCTGTTTGATAATATGAATGGGCCACTTTTATCTTCAATGCCTCTCAACACAACATTCCCTTGTTTTCATCTGACAAACAGTGTGGGCTGGGTTGTACTGTCTCTCACCAATTTTATGGCTGTTGCAGTGAAATTACCCTGCGTTTACACCGACAGAGATGTCGGAGAGCAGTAAATCCCTACCTGTAACGATACACACTGGCATTCCTTCAATAGTGGCTGTGTAAGAGCTAGCCACAACTCCACTGGAACACGGGCCAGCGTTGCAAGATACGCTGCCAGCCTCATGGGGCAACGACTGGGGCATCTCAGCCCATCCCTGGGAGCAGGCTCCCAGCTCTACTCTGGACTTTGGGTGAGACCATCATCTTAGTTCTTGTCTTCTGTAAAACATCCCCTCACACGTGCTCTGATAGGTCCCAAAGAAAGCTGTGGTATAAGGAGAACTGTCTCAGGCAAGGAGTAATCAGAATAATTTAAACTACTTTCTCTTACAGCCATAGCTGCTTGCAGAGAGGACAAGAACCAGATACACTTGAGTCAGCTGTGACTTGCTGACCTCGGAGGAGGAACTAAAAGTGACTATCCTGTTTCTCTTGGCATTTATGAAAGACATGATATCGTATAAAGCAGGGGGAGGGAACAAAGGAAAGCACTGCACTCATGCCATGATTGAAGGTTGACTAGGCTAAAATTGGATAGAAGATTTCAGTGTGATTCAAAGTGGCTCACCCGTTTTGAAGCACTAAAGGTCTGTTGCCTCTTCTTCCAGGAAACAAGTGAGCAATTGAGGTACAAGGCATTTGCTGGGATTAGTGACCATCTGGGAGGAGCTGGTGAACTGAGAAATTGTGGAAGCTCATTAACTCTCGTTAGCCAGTATTTAGAAGAAATTCCCTCCATAAAGGCTGCTATTGCTATTGTAGTCCGAAAGTGAGGAGAAAGGAAAGGAAAAAAGTAAATATAAAAGATGTGTGTGTTTTTGTTTCACAGGTGAAGCCACTTCAGTCAGTGTTTACTGAACCGTCTCTTGACAAGCACTGCCCTGCAGCCATTTGAGTCCCTTGAACCATTTCATGTTGTTCTCTCCCCGTTTCATATGAAGTGTATATGGGCAGGCAAGTAACAAAGGTACAGTTAGAGGTACGTGTATGCACGTATATGTATGTGTGCACATACATACTTCAAAATATATGTTACTTTTTAAAGTATAAATAGCATGTGTACATGTGTATTTACATAATTTTTTTGAGTAAACAGAAAACTACTACATCAAATTCTGCCAAAACACAAATTCTACAAGCAGACACAGGAAGGTCTGCCACACTGGTTCACCCCAGCATTTTACACTTAACCCTAACCCGTATTTTCAAGGTGTTCCAGTTTTCACCCCTAAAATACTGCCAGTGGAGCTGCAGATCCCTCTGTAGTGATATAATGCTGGGGGGGGCTCACTTTCTTCCAACACCTTTCAATGCCTGCACAGGAGCAGTCACAGCCCAACAAGAAGCTCACGATCTGCAGGTTGACAGTTGCTGTGCAAATATACAGAGACAAATTCTTGGTGGTAACTTTTTCACCCATTTGTTGTTCAGGCTTGTGAGAAGACCCATACAGGGCTTTTTTTTTCCTACTTGCCCATCCACCTCAGGCTCCCATTTTTCCATCTGGGAAATCTCAACAAAATGAGTTCATGCAGTGCTGGAACAGCCTGGGACTTGATTTGGGCACACAGATCAATCCTGCAGCCAAAGAGCAGGATGCTTAGCACATCCCAGACACATTGGACTCATTGCACATCCCTTGCACAGTTATTCGACGCAGGCACCGTGGCCATTTCTACAGGACTTGGGACATCTGCGTGACAGCTGCGAGTTCAGAGTGGATGCTTACCTTTTTTTTTTCTGACAGCACAACATTTCTGTGTGGAAAAAGGTATATCTGAGCATGTAAAAGTCGTGATTTTGGATGGGATGTTGCACACACAGAAGCAATGGCAGATTTTAACTGTTACGTTTCTGATGAAAATGAAGAGATTCTTTTTAAAATCTCTGTAAGTCTTAAAAAATCTGACCTGTATTTCCTTATTTGACCACATTAACAGCCGCTGTTTAGTGCTTTTTCTCTAAATCATTTTACATCTAACACTTGAGCCATCCCAGTTGTTAACCACCATCACTGTTTCAATGCTACCTACGATTCGGCAGCTTTAGGGTTTGTCCATACAAAGTCTTTGAAGAGAGAAGGGAACCCACAGAGCATTTTCTCCCTCCTAATAGTTAATTTATCACATCTGATATTTGCAAGCTTTATTCCACCCAGTCTATCAAGCACCAGCACCACAAAATATTTAACAAGATTTGGATCCTGAAAAGATTTATTTCTAGACTTTAAGCAAAAAAAATGACTTGCGCTCTTACATCCAGGGATAGTTTTGTGTGGAAAGAGGTGTCAGAATGCCAATACATATGGCCAGGGACATTTTAGCTGATTGAGAAACACATGCTTTTTTTTCTTTTTTCCTGGAAACAGATATGCCCATTCTAGAACTTTCTGTTCCCAAATTAACCCCGTTTAAATTTAAGCACTGGAAAAATTTCTCCCAGAAACGGGGTCTCTATCTTCCTTCTTTGCATCAGAAGTTATTCCAGACCTCTGGCCAGCAATTTTAAGTGTTCTGTATTGATTTTCCTTTGCTGGCACCATCCAACAAGGCAGCAAAGCCCAGAGAAGGCGAGCTGAGCTCAAGGGTATTCGCAGCATTTATTGCAATAGACAGCCCCCTCGACGGGAACCCACATGGGAATGTTTAATCTGGCCAGTCGGAACAGGCCAGTTAACCATCATCAGATGGAAAAAGCACTTGACAATATCCTGTAGAGAAGTATCTAAACACTGACAGGGGCTGATGAGCAAACAGATTTTCCCAGCCCCGGTTCTTGTGACTTGCTCTTCAGAGCTGTTTGTGGATTGCAGCATATAACTCACAAATATTAATTTTTACTTTCTTGGTTGTTGTTATTTAGACCACCAGAGTGGTTTGAAAGACACTTTAAATACAAATTAGATGAAATTCACCTGAAGAGGTCACTGCTCATCAAATACAAGCTGAAACTATGGGAGAAGGTGAAAACACCTGAGCAGAAGGAAAGAATGACTGCGGTAATCAGGTGCCATGGATAGCTTTTGAAACCTGAAGATGAAAAAATCCTCTCCGACCTGAATGCAGAATTTAGCATACATTTTAGCAGACTGTGAAGGCTGGAAAGACAACCACAAAGGTCATCGAGGGCAGATTTAGAGAGGAGGAGTCAGTGGGAGAAGAGTCAGCACCAAATTACGGGCTATGTGAGAGGGAGCCTGGGCAAGGAGTTGGAAACTTCTGTCCTCATGTCTGTCCTCCCCACACCAACAAAGAGAATGAACTTGCAGGATCATCACTGCTGTGTAAATTAAAGCACAGGTGTTAATCCTTCAAGCTCTTCATTAATTTTTCGGCACTGCAGCTCCATTGGTTGTAACTAAATTACCTGTGATTTTCATGGGGGTGAGATCAGAATCAGACTCCCTTTTTTGATTTAAAAAGATAAAAAAGGAGAAAAAAAAAGAAAAAAAAAAAAAAAAAGAAGTGTTGACTACAGTAGATATATTACATGGGTGTACAATTATCTGGAATAAGACACACAATAACATGCTGACTAAAGCAGAGGATGGCATCACTTTCATTGCCACGCTATCAGCACCGGGTTCACGTTACACCTGAGCACAAACGTTACTATGCTGCACAACAGAATAATATCAAAAGCTAGATCGCATTACTCATCCAGGCTGAAACAACAGATTAATTGACACACAGTAAGCTGGCTATGGTTGTGTTGCTATTACCCTGAATCCGTACAGCTACGTTCATGAATCAGAAAGATTTCTGAGACTGTTTTTCAATAATTGAGCGTTCCAGTGAATTCTTAGTTAGCAACAGCATGGTGCGGTACTGCGAGATGGCAGCAACATTAACACGATTTTAAGGAACAAACAAAATGGCCCCAGCATCTATGAACTGGCAATCAGCAGCCTCCCATGAATTGGAAAAATATTCAAGAGGGTGTTACTGTCACTTATCCAGGACCAGTGCAAAAAAAATGCATGCTTAGATATTTCTGTAATGAATGTTCATCTTCCAAACCAGATTTTAAGACTCTGGTATTAAAAATGACTGACTAGAGGAAGGAGTTATACTATTTTTATTTCAATTTTCCCCTCACTCAAAAAAGGAAAAACCTCTTAATATGTCTACATCCACAAAAATCCTCAGCGTCTATTTTCTTGTCTGCTTAGGAAGGTTATTTCTTCAAACAAATAAACAAACAAACAAAACACGAGTTTTTCTTCATTCTTCAATTCACTGCAATCTGAAATATGAACATAAATATTTAATATAAAATATGGATAAATAAAAGAAGACATACATAAAAACAAGCAAAAATATGAGACTTCTTCAGCAGTATTTAACATACAACTTTGCAAACAAAGCCTTTGTGCACGTCACTGTAAGCAAACCTGGGGGGGCTGCTCTGCAACACTAAATCAACAGTGCAAGGCAAAATGCAAGTAACATAATTTAAAACAAACAACAAATGAAAACCGTCTCAGCAGTCACTTGTAGTTCAAGCAGTAGTTTGATGGTGGAGGTACAAATTGTAGACTAAGGATCAACAGCCTGAATTTTGCAGGAAGTCTGATGAAGTGATCATTGTGGTCCAAATAGGTTTAAGTATTTTAACTAGCCCTTTAGTGCATATTATTACACCCTTTTATTTCAAGATCAGATTGTCTTTCAGCTAAGAACACCATCGTTGTTTTTTGTTGTCATTGTTGTTGAAAAACACCGGTGTTTTTCACTTTTTCTCCCAATTATATTCATCGCAGGAGTTCTTCCAGGCAAAGTAGGTGACATGTAACCTCTCTGACATACCACATTTTCATCCACATCTTTATGTGGATGAAACTCCTCCACTTCCGAACATAATTTTATGTTGTTTCTTTTATATATACACATGCAAGTAAAGATAGATGTAAAGGAAAGGAAAATATGCAAATGGTTTTTGGAAGAGACCTGCACTGGGTTTAGTTCTTGTGGGTTTATCTGCAAAAAATTTGTTTTGTTAGAGTTGTTTTTACAGATTACATTGACCCTGAGTCATCTGGGGAGAAAGAAGACCGTGATATTTCTTGTGGCATGAAACAAGCCAACCAACTCTATTTCTTGCAAATCAATAAGAGAGATTTAAAAAAAAAAAAAAAAAAAAAAAAAAAAAAAAAAAGAAAGAAGAAAGAAGGCTGTGATGATCAATTTAAGGAAGTAGAAAAGAAGTGTTGCTTTTTTAACAAAATAAATGTAGTTTCACAGTGACTATAGCAGAGTGCGTAGCAGCCTCCTCCCTTACTTTATCTCAGCAGATGCCTACAAAACCCAATTACTGGATGATCCTCTCTTCAAGCCAGGTGGTAATGAAATGATGATACAATATTTCCAGCTGTTAGCACAACCTCTAACTTGTAAAACACGGAGACATGCCCAGAAAACACGGGCAAAAGTAGGTAGGGCTGCTGCTTAATAGTAGTCATAATAATAAGATGTTAACGATACCAAAATACCGAGTGGTATTTACCATGAAACTCACAGATAGAAAAAGTCCTTCAGCTATTTTCTTTTCCAATGTCATTAGAGATTAGCTTGCTTCTTTTTTTACCCCTGCCCAGCATAACACCCTTCTGCTTTCTGCACAGACTTAGATACTTGCATGTGTTGTACTTGGCACTGTTTCGTGGTAAGATGTAATTTATCTTTTAACTTTTGCTGTGATAACTCTCAGCCCTCAGGAAGGACTGAGACAGATTGTCAAATTTGAATTAAGACTCCGCAGAGGTCTTGCAGCGTGCGTAAATGACATTAAAGCTCCCAGCAAAGCACCTTTCTGCTGCTGAAGTCGCTGGCGTTGGCAGGCACCAGGCATGGCACGCTCGCTGTCCTAGACCTGTGCTGGGTCTGGCGTTCCTCTGCCAGTCACTGGCATCTGTCTGAACAATTCACATCTGTGCTTGAATAACAAGGGGAAGCCTTGAGCCGTTCATTTCCTTGAGGCATCGGTGAATGCACACAGTTATGGGCCTCGTAGTTTTTCACTTGGTCCTCGTTCACCAAAATATAATAGCTCCGTCAGCTGTCAAGCACTCAAGCTGAGAAGCTTTGTGTAGTGACAGAAAGATTTGCAAACGGAGGGTGAAATTCTGCAGATTTTTCATACACCTTAAATTTTACTGTGGCTGCTGTCAATATTTGTCAAAGCATTTTATGGAAGAAATGTCTTGCCAAAATAAATTAATAAATAAAACTGGGCAATCATTCCAATTAAAGTCCTTCAAGTTAGAAAAGCACAGATGATAAAAATTCCTTTTTTTTATATATCATCAGCAAAAATGGCTGCAAAACCAGGACAGGCTTATAGATGTGCCTGAAGCATGGGTATGCAAGGGACGGTATTTCACTTGGGATGTTTTACTCGTCTGTAGTAGTAGTTATCACTTCAAAGTGCTACGTTCAGATACTACTCTCAGTGCAAATTCTGAGCATCTTCTCCTGGGATTAAATTGGCCTTATGTACAAAGACCAAGGAGCCTGAGCCTTGGACAATGAATTCACTTCAGTCTGCTGTGATTTTGTGAAAAACATGAAATGGAAGTTGTGCTGTTTTCTTTGTTCTGTTGATGGACAAATGTCGCTGAACACTGTGAGATTGCTTTCAGTATCAAACTGCAGTCGCTGTACCCCTCAGAAATTTGTAGTGCGAAGACATACCACCCTGTTGTAGGGAAGTCTGATTTCTCTGGTTCCACCATGTACCCCAAAATGCAGTAAGATATGCCCGCAGCAGAATGGGGTAAGCCAAAACTAAATTTTGGCTCCCTTAAATAAGAATTGTAGGACAAAACGCAGTTTTGCTGACTCCATCAGTGCTGCCATATCTGCAAGCGTAGATGAGGGGCGATGCAGCTGTTCATCTCGCAGACCGTTGTGTATTTTGACAGTGTGGTTTTCCCCTCTTGCTTCCCTCTTTGCTTTGGCTTAAACAGTAAGTCTGTCCTCTGACGTGCAGAAGAAAAACACAGCGTTCAGACGCCAGAACCGATCTGCTGCCTTTTACCAGCTCTTTTGCATCCCTCCCTTCTTGCCACCTGGTAACACTGTGAGTAACAATATGTCCAAAAAATTAACGTTTTAGATCCAGAGATTTATTGAAACCCTGTCCTGGGTAGACCCTTTGCAAGAGGCTCCTTTTGCCCTCGAGCAAGGCAGCTCCTATTCTGGGTCTGCACACCTGAAATGAGCTGCAGATACGTCTTCTCTGCAGCTCTGGAGATCAGGCTCTGTTGTTTACCTTCTGTAATAACGACTCCACTTCTTATAGAATAGGACTGTTTTTTTCTCTCCCTCTCTCCTTTTTTTTTTTTTCTTTTTTTTTTCTTTGCGCATGCAACAGCTGGATTATGCAATCATTTCGGGGAGGGGGCTTGGCAGACAGTCTCTGCTGAAATCACACCCATCAATCTAGAAAATCATCACTGGCGTTTGTGATATGGGCTCTCATCCACGGTGCCCTGGTGTGGAGGAGCCTAAAAAGAAATAAAATCAAAATCTCCAAATGTCAAGGAAATTTCCCTCTCTTTGTGTACACAGACATGTGGTCCTCGCATCAGGATCTGCTCATATGAGTCAAAGAAGGAAAGAGGGGAGGGGGGGGATAATCTGAACCGCCTGGTTATTTATGTATTTATTCATGCCAAAGCCAACCTGTACCCCACCTCAGGCACGGAAAGTGTTTATATCTCAGAAATCACACCCACATTTTACATACCAGGAGCTCAGCCCAGCCTGGGGCTGCTCGTGATCCCCGCGACAGCCAACGGTAGCTGCACGCGTCCACCCGGGAGGGAGCGCCTCTCGACCCGCAGGTGCCGCCGCCCCTTTGCGAGCAGAAAATTAATATTTTATAGCCGGGAAAAAGAGCTGGGAACGGCCCCGCTATACCGTAGTAGCCGGCGCCGTGCGTGATGTATAGCTTGCTGCCTAGCAATGTTGCTAGGAGACACAGGCACCAGCCACGAAAATCCTGCATTTGCTCGTGGTGGCTGGCGGGGTGGGCTCGACGTGACGCTTTGCACACCCCGAGCTGGTGCGGGAAGAGGTGCCTGCTCCACTCAGGATCTGGCTGCCTGAGACTGTCTCCGCCGCCGCGCTCGCCGCCCTGATGAGCTGCATCACGATGCGCCACGCGCTGCAATAATTTTCCACTGGAAAAAAGCAAAAAAAAAAAAAATATATATATATATACACACACACACACACATGCCGCCCTCCCCTCCCTGCTTCCTGTTTCTTAGTGCTCTTCGAACCTGATTGAGAGAGTAGTGGAATTTTACAGCTGCATCCCGTGATGCTCTCGCTCTCGCTCGCAATCCCATGGCCTGGCTCATACCTCAAACTCCCCGTAAAGTCGGATCACAATGATGTGACTCACTATTACAACTAAAGATAGATCTCGTCGAAGCAGTCATGAGCCCTGGATGCTAGATGTTTTGTTGTGATTTTTTTTTTTCCTCCTCTCTTTTCCTTGCTGCTCCCCTCTCTCCTGGCTCCATAATTTTTGACCTTTGGAGGTCCGTCCCATGCGAAGGAGTGTTTGAGTGGTACCTATGGCAGGTACACCAGATGCTTTTCCTGGCCTGAAGAAAGCCATGCATGGCTGCACAGAAGCAGCACACACAGAGCTGTGTGAGCTCGCCTGGGTCCCAGGTTGGAGTTTCATAGCTGAGCGACTCCTAACACCACATAGGCACAGGGCAGGATAGCCACAGAAAGGAGCGAGAAGCATTTTAAGACGGTGTTCTTCTAAACCTAACAACCCTTTTTTTCCCCCGTCTTTTTTTTTTAATTATTATTACCTTTGTGTTTCCATACCAGTTGATTTCAAGTGTGAGCATTCACCTGGACCATTTAACACCCACAAAGAGCAGGGCAGCGCTGGTGCAGGAGAACACAAAGTGAAACAACCAAGACACCAACCAAGAAAAGAAGGGCTCTTGCCCAAAGACCAGCAGCTCCTGATAAGGCCACAGAAGGGCTCAGCATCAGTCAGGAGCAGGCAAGTGGCAGGAGAGGTAAGACCTGCTCTGCCATCAGCCACCCCGTGGCAGTGGGGACGTGTGGATCATCGGCTCTGGTGAAGCCCCACAGGCATATCCCTAATAGCTCTGCGGGGAAAACTCACCTGGCACCTCAGGAGATGTTGTGCTGAAGGAGAGCAGCTCCTGCTGCTGCAAAGCGATCTGAAACCCCCCCAGGCTCAGCTGGCCAAAGCTGGGGAATGGAGAATTGACTTTGATTATGCCATAAATACGGATACAGAAACCAGCAGGTGAGGGAGCTGGAGGCAGTCCTCTGTTTGGACAGATTGGACCCGTTTCAGCCCTGTATAATTCCACTACTGTCAAAGGCATTACACCGGGGATAAAACCAACCCATTATTTTTAACCTGGCCATTTCCTTTCATGCCCTTGATTCGGGAAATCCCTATGCAAGCGCATGGCCTTAGTCATGTGAATATTCTCACTGGAGGCAGTGTGACTGCTCACGTACTTGGGGCCTGAAACAGCAATGGAGGGAAAGGAGAAACAAAGGTATTATGGGAAGAACAACGTACTGTAAGGTCTGTGAAAGGTGTCTGTCCACCTGGGGGATTACAATATTTCCAGCTAGGTTTCCCCTTTTAAGCTTAACAATTTCTATGAGACCAGCAGTACCTTTAGGAAAACAGTGTAAGGTACGACGGCTCTAAGGGACGGGGGAGGAGAACAAAATATCCCATATATCATTAAATGTTCCTAAAATATTTTTTTAAAAAAATCCTTTAACAAAGAAGCTAGTTATGCAAAGGTCCTCTGGGGACTGCAATCTATGTCTGTGACTTTCATAACCTTGCCCCGATTCCCTCTCCTGCACTTGCAGGGAACACCCTAGGGGGCTTCCTAGGAAGCCTCAACATGCGTGCCTTTCTGCAGTGCTTCTGGCTTCGCAGTTCTGCTGTTCCTCAAAAAATACACAAGCCAAATCATGACTTCCAAATACCAAGAATTGTGATCTTTAACCATTGTCATATGCCAGCAATGCTCTACAGAAATCTCTCGTGTGTTTCTATCTTGCAGCAATCTAGAAGACAGACCAGGAAAGCACTGACCAAAGAAATGTGATTGATGAATCCCTGTTACACCCAGACTATTCTTCAAATTCCCCTACGCAAAAGCTCTGCTTTCGCCACTTTCCGAAGACCTTTCTGACAAGGGCTGTGCACATACCACAGCGTCTGGCCGCGGCATGAAATGTAACGACAAATCTTGACCTATCGGATTTAAGCCGTAGACATGTGATCTAAACAAGGGTGACTTTCACAGATAACACACCACAAGATAAGTGATTCAGTGAAGTTCCTGAAGCCAGCAGTTACTCCGGTCTGTAGCACAGTAAATGAGATCAGGCTCACCGTAATAAATGAATCCGTAAAGGAGGTGCTCACGTTCACTGCAGAACAGGCTAAGGAACGAGAGGCAGCAGACTTGCTGAATTCACTTATCATTACTACAGGGCAAGAGCTACTAGAAAGTTACGTCTACGGTTCCTTGAATACTCTTTAATAAACTTTTCATATTCAGCCAAATGAGGGAAAACACCTTCTTTATTTTACCAGCTGCTGTGCCCACCAAATTTCCCCTTTCTTGCATGTGGACCGTTCAGATTTGCTATGAAAACAACCAGCTCGGTTCCGTCCCTACTTTCTCTTTCAGGTTTATGTATGCACCATTCAAACAACGCAGGCAAATCCATGAAATTCATTTCACAGGACATTGAGCAAAGGAATGTGGAATAATGTTCCTCGGTTGCTGACATATGATCAAATGCAAGTTTGCTACAAGGAAAGAGGAGACACGCAACAGCCTTGAAATGGATCAAAATCTTGCCACAATAACCATAGTTACTACATGAACGCAGTTATAATATTAGTATTGGCTTCCCTCTTGTGGCAACGAGCAAGCTGTAGCTCTAATATGCAACCAGAATCCGCCGAGGCATCTGTCTGATACAGAATGCTGCAATATGCTCATTCGGCAAGACCCCTGCATCCACGCACAGGACAGCTGATTCCAGCTCCAGGCAGATGCAAAGACCTACACGCAGCAAGTGGATGGCAGCCTGGGGTCTCAGCTCTGCAGAGAAAACACTGACAAGATCAGAGATTCACCCTGCTATGACTCAAGCCAGTATCTGGCCCAAGTTTAAACTGAAGCAAGAGATGTTTTCCACTCACAGGTGCACTTTTAATCCTGTAAAAGAGGTACCTAGGCTGTTAGCTGTCTCTGGCTGAGATGTGGCTCATCTTCTAGGCCTGCTCAGTAAAGGATTTCTGCTGAGCCTGTCAGTTCAGTGGTCATTCCTGTGACAGACCACCAGTACATGGACCAAAATCTCATTTTTTTTGCCATTCTGACTCTAGAGGTGGGACAAGGATTAACATCCCACTTTCCACAGCAGTAATGGAGCAGGCATGAAGGTCCTCCTCTACTTTATTTTCTCCATAGCCACTTGCACATTACCATAATTTGACTGACAGTCGTGAATTTAGGTTTTTTTAATGGCAGCGTGTGTGAGAAGGTATCATTGCTATTAATAAAGCGTGTTTCATCGACCAAATTTAAAGCTGTTTGTAAAGGATGTTGGTCTCATTCTTGCTTTTTTACAGATGGGGGAACTGAGGTGCAGAATAATTAGAAGCCAATCAGCAGGCCCAAAGCAGAGCTGAAAATAGATCCCAACTCTCCCGAGTCTCAGTACAATGTTCTAGCTGCTGCTCTGCCAATCTGTGAGATGGCAAAGCTCAACTGTTAGCACTTACCTACACCAGAACATGCCAATTATTTGTATATTTTCCAGAATCAGTTATTTTTACACGTAATATTTTGTGGACGTCTTCTAAAATGGTCAAATGTCCAAGTGAGCCCTCGTCACCATTTCCAGTATAAGGCCTTGCTGATTAGTGTTAATTTTGCTGATCTATTAAAATCATGTCATAGCTCAACCTCAATTTTTCAGGCTTATTAAATTATCCTAAAAGAGACTCAGAGCAGACATTTTGCCAATGAAGCTACAAGTACTTAATTGTGGTTGTCTTTCCCTTTTACAACAGATTACTATGGCAGCACAGAAAGTAAACTGTCGTACACGTGATACTTCTGGGGTGCTCGTGGCACAATAACATCATAACGACTTATTATTTTATCATATAGCAGTGCTAGATGGAAATCCCCTTTGGAGGGCAGGCAAATGTAGGCACAGGTGCTTGGTTTTGCAAATGCCCCTACAAATAATTTTCAGTGGAGTGCTCCAATGCTGAGGTCAGTGAGTTCAGCATCCTAACTCAATTAATAGGGCTGCTGCTCCTATTCTGAATTCCCCTAACAATCTATGTGGTTTTACAATCGCTCTTGCCAGCTTGGAAGGAAAAAAGAAAATGTTGTCTGCCTGCTGTTACTGAGTGAAAAACCCTTTTGTTAATGGCAAAATGAGTCAGGTCTTGCCTAGGCAGCTAGGTTTTAGTGTGCGGGTCACTCCACCTGCGACAGCTTAGTCCCCAGGGAGCCCGTGTGACAGAGCACTTGCACTTACCTGCCCATGCAGAACAGTTTGCAGGGCAAAGGTACGAAAAACAACCAAGTGAATTAGATTCAGCAGGAGCACTCACTGCTTCTGGGAAATAAAAGGGCAGACCCTGAAAGAAGGGAAAAAAAAAAAAAAAAAAAAAAGCTTCCTTCAGCAGCCACAGGAGCAAAACCACAGTAGCAACAGAGAGGTGAGGTAGGTCATAGCTTTTCTGTGTCACATTCCCTGAACCTAACTCGAGCCTGCGAGTGGAAGTCTCCTCTGTTTCTTGTAAATAACAAACTTTTTGTAGAGGTCAGGAACTTGTTTGCAGCTACACCCTGGCTGCTCTGGGACCCTCCCATGCTGAGTATGGGAATACCAGGCTCAGCCAAAGGGAAACAGCTGGCTGCAATTACTGGCTAGCAGGTGCAGAGGAGCACTCCAAACAGGCCGAAAGCTAAGGTTTCAGGTGATTTTCAAGGTGAGGGACTAAAGTACTTGGTGTTTTTAGCCTCCTTAAAGATTTTGAGTCACTAGTTTAATTACTGGAGGGGTTTTTGGTATTTCATGTGCTTTTTGAAGGAGCTGGCCGTAGTTCGGTGGAGGCTAAGTTTGGCACATTTTGTGGAAATAAACAGATATGCTCTCATCATCGTGAGGACACCAGATGTGTTGTTACAAGCTTCATCTCATTTTACCTCTACATGCTGCAAGCACTCTGGAACGGTCTGTCTTACTACGAGTTTTATGATGACTCATGCAGCTGGACCCTGCTTGAAACACTTCCCCACTGCTACCATGGTAGAATAATAATGAAGAATTATCACATTCTTTCTAGAGACTTAAAAGTGCTGATTACAGTGAGCTCTGTGGCTGCTAGGCATGTGTGAAGTCCATGTCTTCAATAAGCACAAGCGTGTGTTTAAATTAATCTAAACTCAAATTACTTTGAAGATTTCTCAAATAGAAGTAGAGAGGCTATATTTAGTAGGATTTCAGATCTAGTCTGTATCAACAGGAGAATGCTTGTTATGATGCATTATGAATATGAATAACACTATATTTCCTAAGAATGAGTACTCTGAGGTTACAGTGCCACAAGCAGTGACCTCCACATAAACCAACAGACCTGCAAGTGGATGTTCTTCCAGGTGTTTCTCATGACCTTGTAATCAGAGTATGTGCATGAGTGCTCAGTGGTATTGAACCTACATGAACACGCTGAAACAAGGGATAGAGGTAAATGTCAAATAATGAAGGACGGGCACTACAGGGAGTCCAAATGCTTTGTAGGAGGAAAAAAACTTGAGTCTGTCAACAGTCACCTTGTTTTCCATGTGCCTTAGCATAGTATCCAGGAGGACCTGCTCTATGATCTTGCTGGGCACAGAAGTGAGATTGACTGGCCTCTAGTTCACCAGGTCTTCTTTTTTTCCCGTTTAAAAAATGCCTTTTAAAAAATAGGCATTATATTTCCTCTTTTCCAGTCAGCAGGAACTTCATTGGACTGTCACAACTGCTCAAATACAATGGATAGTGACTAAAAGATCATGGAGTGTTTCAGGGTTACTCTAATGAAATTTTGGATACAGGACCCCATTTCAAACAAATGCATTCTCTGTACTTTTCCCAAGTTTCAGTGCATGCACATTACAACAACAAAAAAAAAATACAGAATGTGTGTTTTTCCTTAAACAAATCCTTTTCTTCATTTTAGATGTGTTTTTCTTAGTACCGAAGTTATTAAAAATATCAAGAAGAATGGTGTTAGAATGGTTAAAGCTCTCATGAACTACACTTGTGGCTTTGCATGTCCCCAGAGCAAATACAACCGGCGATACAGGAGCTCAATTCCAGCACCCAGAGCACCACATATGGGTTACAGCATCGTGTTTCTGAGGGGATGCTGTACCAGCTTCCTAAAGAGGAAGCCTTGAGGAAAGCCTAGCCTAATTCTCTGCTTTAGAGCGAGCACTAATCCTCCAACTTGTGGCAACAGCAACACCTAGCGCTCCCGGTCCGCCCTGCATGTGGAGCTGGTTTGGGGAGGGAGCAGCCAGCAGCCTACATCCCCCAGCGAGCCGCGCAGCGCTGAGGGGCGGTGCGGCCGCCATGCCTGCGCGGGGCCGGGCGGCGCCGTGACCTCCAGCGGACAGAAACAAAATGGCGGCGGCGGGGCTGGCGCTGAAGGTGATGGCACGGAGAGGGCGGGCAGGGAGGGAAGGGGGGAGGCGGTGAGGGGCTGTGAAGCCACCGCTGTGCTGTCCCGTCCCGCAGGTGCGGCAGCTGAGCACGTCGGCGGCCAGGCCGGTGTCCAAGCTGGTTAAGGTGAGTGGGGAGGGGGTGGGAGCCGGCGGGTCCCCCCCGTCCTGGGGCTGCCCCTGAGCCGCGCTGTCGCCCTTAGCCCCCCGTGCAGGTGTACGGGCTGGAGGGCCGCTATGCCACCGCGCTGTACTCGGCCGCCACCAAGCAGAAGAAGCTGGAGCAGGTGGAGAAGGAGCTGCTCCGCGTGTGGGTGAGCAGCCCGGCAGCAGCCATCTACCTGGGGCGTGGGGTGCCCCTGCCTTGGGGGGGGAGGTTGGACTGCGGGTCCAAGCTGTGCGAGGGGAGCAACACCCCTAAAACACCCCTAAAACAAAGATACCTCCTGTAAGTGAGCTGTATGTGGGGCAGCCATCATCCTGCTAGCTTCTCATCTCTTCAGGCTCGCTCAAGGAGCGACCTTGTTGCCCACTTGGATGGTTTGTTCAGGCCTGGAGGACTTGTGGTGTGTTCGTTTTATTGTTATAATGTTGTGTGTGTGTCCTCTTAGACTCTTTTGAAGGACCCCAAACTGTCCAGTGTTGTTATGAACCCTCATACCAAGAGCACAGTTAAACAAAAAGCCGTGAATGACGCTCTAGCAAAAGAGAAGATGTCCCCTATTACTGTCAACCTGATGAGTGAGTAATCATTTTGATTTTGAGAAACATCCAAGGCTGGTGGTTGTTACTGGTAGCAAACCAAATCTGCTTCCAGCGGGTGCTTTAAACCCTTTTGACACATCTACTTCTTCCATCCAGACTTGCTGGCTGAGAACGGTCGCTTGCGCTACACTCCAGGCATTGTGTCTGCCTTTGGGAAGATCATGAGCGCGTACCGAGGAGAGGTGCTGTGCACGGTCACCACCGCACAGGTAGGTTGGGAACCTCTAGGTTCACCTGAACAGATACAGGCATAAAAGGCAAAATTACTTAGCCTTATTTTGGTTTCTATAATACAAGCATCTTGCTGTGTGAGTAGTGAGGAAAAATCTCACCTCTCCTAGGATGAAAGTGTCTCTCCAAATAGTGTTTTGATATCCAAAAATTGTTGGTAAACAATTAAACGTGTTCCTCCTGTTTCAGCTTAACAGGTAACATCTTTCTTTCCTATGTGTGAACCCAGTGGCTGATAAGTCAGCCTTGTCTGCCTCCGCTCTTATTTCTGTCACTGAAATGGTACTGATCAGGTGTTAGAGCAAAGCAGAAGGCTGAGGACTAAGAATGCCTATGGCATTCTTAGAATGCAAGAAGCTGCAAGAAGCAGCTACATAATTCACTGTGTGCAGTAATTGGGGAAGTGGCTAATTCTGGAACTGCAGGAGGAATTTTTCAAAGGCAGATGATTATTGCTGATTCTTACAAAGGTGAGAAGGAAGATGTATCCGTTAGCTGTGAGGATGGAGATGTGGGGATTCTGGCACTTGATTAATTTCTTTGGTGATGGATCCATGCCCAGGTCTGTTAGAGCAGGAGCTTGCCTGCAATGTACATCAAGTAATTCTGTAGGCCTTGGTTGGGGCTAAAATGAACTGCCTAGTGGACTAAGTAAAAAGAGTCACCTATCTCAGGGTGACTGGCTCTCTGTAGGCCACAAGCACAGACTGTTAATCTAGTTGATAGCCTTCAGGGATGTGTAAACTCACAAGCCTGTGTAAACCTTTTCATGAATTTTCCCAAATAATTCATAAGTAAAGTTACTTTCCTGCTGCCTGTTGGGGTAGCGGTGATGGTTTCTTTTGGCTCTCAACTGTTAGCTATTAAATATAAATTATTGAAATTGCCGGTAATGCAAAAACACTACTTTTCTGTGAAATCTTTAATTTCTGTCACAGTGATATATGAGCAGCTCTTTGGGAATGCAAGGGTAATTTCACAGTGCTTCTCCCACGGGGATGCAAAGTTCCTCCATGGTGATGGGGTGCTCTCTGCCCGTGTCCTGAGTTGCTGTCCTGTGCTTTACGTCAAATTTTTCGTAGGCAAATAATCTGAACTGTTAGAAACAGCAAAATTTATCTTTTCTTATATAGCCTAAATGATGCTGTGAAGGTCTTCTGTTGAGTGCTTAATTTGGCAAGTAAATATGCTTGCTTGCTGAAGATATTACCATGAAGCTTTTGCTAGAAATACATATGCAGAGAACACAACGTTTCATGAAATTAAAGGAGCACAAAGTGACTTCTGTTTCTGTGCTGTCATGTGGTTATTGCTGTCCAAGAAGGTTGCTTACTCTGCCTTGCTGGAAGTGCCTTTAATTTTTCTCTTCAGATTTTCGTAACAAGTGTTCTCATTATATTATTTGAATTTTTAAGTCCTTAATTTTCCTTGTCTTCTGCTCAAATTTTTCAGCCCTTGGATGATGCCAGTCTCACTGACCTAAAAAGTGCTCTGAATGGATTCTTGGCTAAGGGAGAGGTCCTGAAGCTGGAGACCAAGGTACGGATTTCTGATTTGTACATATATTTAATCAAGTTAATGTTCAATTGAGCTTCTCTCTCTCTCTGATCTTTTTTTCTTTAAAAAGGAACAAACAATAAAAATATGTTGTGTATTCATTGTATTTAACACACTTCTGTGCTTTCTTCTAGACCCGATGATGCTTTAATTACTAAAATCTTAACTTCAGAATGTACTGTTTGCAAAACTCTCTTTTTACAAAAGTAAAAATTGTATACTAGGTCAGCAATTTTTTGCTAATGGAATTCCTGTTCAATACTTCTTCTTTAGACGGATCCATCAGTGCTTGGTGGAATGATCGTCAATATTGGGGAGAAGTATGTAGATATGTCGACGAGGACAAAGATCCAGAAACTCACCAAAATCATGAGGGAGACTGTCTAGCAAGCTGTCCTGACCATTCGCAATGAAACTTACAAGGTGGAAACAATAAAGTTATTCTTGAACTGATGGTTTCAAGTATTTTGATTCCAAAACACAGCAGGGGGAGAAAGATGATAAAACTAGTGAGTTTAACAGTCTTCACTGACCCTTTGGTAACACAGCTCACCTGTGTTACAGGTGAATGTTGCTCTGGAGGATACAGAGAATAACTCTGTATTAGCTGATAAATGTGGTCACAGAGTTGCAGTCAGTCTCCAGAGAAAACTCCCAAGCAGGAAGCTGTCTGGCAGTTCAATGATCCTGCTGCTGCATGTGCTGCTTCTCTGTATGGGAAGAGAAGACACTGGAACTGCAACCAGCAGATTCCTTCCTAAAGGTGACAAGGGCTGCTAAGCTGTCTTGTCATCAGTGTGTTCTCAACAGCTACTTCAGGCCTGCTTTACTTCCACATCTGTACAGTTCAACAGAGTTATATACATGCCTTAAACTAAGATTACCCTCTAAAATCTTTCTATGGGGAGTTTAACATGGAATAGCACTTGGGCTATGCTGCTGTACATTGTGCCAACCCAGCCCTGAAACAGCTGCAAAGAAATACATCCTCAAGGTGCAGGTTTTAGCAAGTGCAGAGCTAGAAAAATGGACTCACCTCTTCATAGGATATTGAGGACACTGACCTCAGGGCTGCTGGCCAAATGCAGTAATTATTAACAAAAAAATGGGAGAGACCAGAGTGGGACTTCCTATGTTCTCGTACAGCTGAGTCACAGTCACCAGCAAGCTGGATAAACACTGCAGATGACACACCTGGCCCCAGAGCAGGGTCTATATAAAGTAATAATGACACCTGGCATATTAAGCACTCACTTTTTAGGGGTTCTTTTATTTGTTGTTTGCTGGTTTTTCTACCTTGCTATGCATTTGGCCAACTCTCGTTTTTCCAAGTGCAAACAGTCTATTACTGAGATGAAAGGTGGCGTGTGTCACAGGTGTTAAACGCTGCTAACATTCACTGCCGAGTCATCACTTGGCTTATAGCTATGTAGTCCTTTTTTCAAATACTAATCTAAAGATTTAATACATCCTTGATATCACTTGTCTTCAGTACTTTTCAAGAAAGTAACAATACACAATTAAACTTGGAAAAAAAAACAGGGTTTATTCTTGCATAATTTCACTTGCACAACTACAGTCTCATCTGTGTCAAACGAATTGCACAGACTAAAATCCGATCTGCAGTTTCAATGTCGGTGAATGCAGTCTGGGATGTGGCAGAATTCCTCAAACAGGTGAATGCAGCTGAAAGACTGGCTTAGTTTTGATACCGCCTGTAAATAGAATCGTTTAACCAAGTATGGCAGAGGAAACAACACATTTAGAGCAACCAAAGTACAGTTGAGATTGTCCAATGAGAAACAGTGGTATATGATTTGTAATTATTCATTATACCTACTACAAATGCTTTAAACAAACAAACAAAAAATTCACAGTATGGATGTGTAACTGTAGAATAGTTGCCTATGGCGTAAATGAACAAAACAAGTGCATTGTATTTTCTCTGAAAAAAGGAAAAGTAACTTTTTCCTCCTATCTGGCCAGATCTTAAGACATACACGTAACAGTTATTTTATTACGCCTTTGCAATCTTTAGGATCTTATGAATACAACATACAGTAAAACACTTCCTTTTTTAAGAAAAAGAAATTAACTGATACCATTTGTTTGGCAACAAAAAGTGCACTAGAAAGTAACACCACCATCATCAGGGAGGATATTCCCCAATTCTAAGTAATAACATTGAAAAAATACTACGGTTTTCAACAATTTACCAACACTAAGTAAAAAGTACCCATGACAAAGCCTGCAAAGGTTGGTAGAATCTAAACTCTGTTCTGGCAAGTTGAGGACTGAAATAGGGTGTTCTGCAAAAGCTGTTAACAGTGAATTAGCCTGCTGAAAAGCGCTAACCCTTTACAATTTATAGCCTGGACAGGAGGAAGAGCTTCAACCCAGCGCAGACACTTGGTGAGTGCCAAGAGCATCGTGCTCTCCATTTCCATTCCTTCCTCGCAGGCTGAAGCAAAGGCATTGGGTAACGTTCTCGTAAGATATTTTGTGATCAGCCACAGCAGGAGAACATTGGCAAGGCTGCTACTGATCATTCAGCCAAAGCCCATCAGGAAAACCTTCCCCATGGGGGAGGCTCTGCATTTTACCCCTGATGAGGCAAGGCAAGAGGAAGAGAGGGCCAAGAGCACGAGTTGCCCAGGTGCCCAGACCAGCACCAGGAGGGCTCTGTGGTCCTGCACCCAACTTTCTCCCTTCCTCCTGGTGAGTGTGGGTTTCACCTCGAGGCCCTGCCCTGTGGAGCAGCTACTACCTGGGAGGGATTTCACTGCCAGGCCATCACCTGCTAGACAAACCACCCCATTTTTATTTTTTTTTTTTTGAGGGGAAATGAGCCTGCTGCTTACCAAGCTCTTACGTTTTCACTCTGCCTCTATTTCTTCCTTTTTTTCCCCTCTTCTCCTGTCATCTGTGCTCACTGTGGAAGGCAGGAGCTGCTGCCTGAGAGCCTGACAGAAGGGCTCAGAGGAAGCAACAACTCCCTTCACTTGCACAACAGGCTGAGATCCCAGACACAAATCCTAAATCCAGGGTTAGCAACACTTTGCAGTGCTACAAGAAGCACGAGGAATTCACCTGCAGTTGCAGCAGAACCTTTTTCTGACAACTAGATCAAGCAACTAGGCTAGTTTAACATGTTCTTTATTCATTTAAATTAGGTCCTAAATATATCCACATATGTACAGAAAAATAATTTCCCAAGGATGGCCATTATTGTAAAATATTTAAAGGAACAAACAAAACTGTGTGCCTATAAACGTTTTTGTTAGATTTACTCAGTATTTGACAACGACAAAGTAGCTGTGTTTTTATATTATATATACAAATAATCACATATATATATATAAGCATGTATTTAACTCTAGATACATTGATATGCATGTAGGACAGGAGTGTTTGGGCTGAACAAACACCAGGATCCACGTGGAATGTACATACAGAGCAAACCCCTCAAAGCTAAGGTGAGCTCACCTGATTCCCAGCTTTTCTGTTTCAAGGGTTTTGACTGCTCCATTTGAACAAACTGAAGTATCACAGTGGCAAACAGAGCAGCATGAAAGTAGACACCACTGTTGCAGTAAAAGTCTGGATTTGTCACATCTTAGTCTTGAAAATGTATTTAATAATATTACAAAAACTTCATTATCCACAATGTTCCCCCACCCAACCCAACTCACATGTAACAAAAAGTGATTTTCTTTTTCTTTTTTTTTAAGGGTAAAAAAATTCTAAAATGAACGTTTAAAAAGTTCCCTCATACAAACTCATGTTGAGAAAATATATAATAATTAAGTGCATCTAGAAAAGAGTTCTGTAATTTATCAGTCATTTGGCTTAGTGTCAGCTCAGTGACGTGCTATGTCTGCCAAGGTGCCCAAGTCGGACCACCAATTGCATACAACCTCTCAGGGCTTTACAGGCTGCCTTCCTACCAGCATTAATCTTGGAGAGATGCTTGGTATTTCTGAGCCAAGATCAGCTTTATTTTTATTATTATTATTTTTACAGTGCTTCCAAATGTGTTGTAATCTGTAGGTATATAAACTCTGATTTGCCCAGTAAATACAATTCTGGAGAGTTTAGTGGCTATATCCCAGTGACCATTCACTTTCAGGAAGATAAGAAAGAAAACAGATCCATCTGCAAAGAATATAAACTACTGCTGATTTTTACCTGAACCTTGATGTTTTGTTTGATGCTCTGGTTATACCTATTGCAACCTTCCAGTCCTTATAGCCTCTGAATCAACTTCATAACGTAGACTTTATATTATGGACATCTTTCAAACTCATCCCTGCATCTCCAGCAAAGCACACAGGCTTCCAGCTAGCTCTCAGCATGCCTTTGTAGTAGCTGGGACACAAATTAGAGGTAAGCATCAGCTGAAGCGCTTCATTGAGCCAGGGCTGCATGAGATGACTGAGCAGCTGCCAGCTGAGCTGTGAGGCAGAAGCCTGGAAAGGAGCCCCCAAAATAGCCCCGTTTCACACAGCTGAGCTTCGGTGGAGTTCAAGGGGAAGGGAAGGGCAGTGCTTTCCAACGGATGTCATTAATTACAGGACAGAAGCACTACTGTGCACATGACACACACAGAAGAAAAACCTAGTGGGACCGCAGAGGAGCAAGGCACGGAGATGACACGAGATGTATTTTCTAGAGTTTGGCTCGGAGGGAGCCAACGGGCTCAGCAGGTGGAAAAAATCATGGCTGGGAGGGGACCTGGGTGATCTCAAATATGAGCCTCAACCCTTATGGCAAGGGATTGGAGCCTCTGGGATCACAGGGTGGGAAGTTGGCACTCACAGCCTGGCCCTGCTGGGAAAGATGGTGTTGGTGTGTGCTCAGGCAGCAGGTCTGTGAGTGAGGAGAGCTGAACCTGCCCTGGACATAATGACTGCCAGCTGCATCTGACTGAGCACCAAGGAAAATGAGCTCAGGTGGTTGCCCAAGAACTGATTCCTGCCCCCAGGGAGGAAACCTGTCTGCAAGTTCAGGCTGATCCTTATGGCAATCAGAAGGAGCCTTCCCAGTGTCTGCAATGATGGAGAGGTCCTAAATGGGTACAAGGGACACGGCAGATGCTGGTGTATGATGACATTGCTGATGAAAACCTCATATAGCTGGGGAAACAGAATCACAGAATCATCTAGGTTGGAAGAGACCTCCAAGATCACCCAGTCCAACCTCTGACCTAACACTAACAAGTCCTCCACTAACCCATATCCCTAAGCTCTACATCTAAACGTCTTTTAAAGACCTCCAGGGATGGTGACTCCACCACTTCCCTGGGCAGCAAGTCCTTTGAGACATGGAAAACTGGCACATTGGTGCTGGTGCAGCCGATTCGCTGCATGGAAAGGGCATATATCTCCTGGATGTTCAGGAGAGCTGTCTGGATCACACCATGAAAGCAAGGAGCTTTCATAGCGTTGGTCTATTCCAGGTTCTTTTCCATTAACTCAGTTCAACTGCAAGACATAAAGCCAAGATAGCACCAGGGAAAAATACCACTTCCCTTGCTAAACTTACTGTATGTGAAGGAAGAATGCAATTGCCGGAATGACAGCTTGGAAACCAAACTACCAGAGCAACTTCTTCTGTTGCATGTTTTCTCACATTTGCAGATTTTGCCATTTCTTCTCTTACTTTTTTTTTTTTTTTCCCCTCCCAGTTTATCAAAAGCAAAATATCACTGTTTCAATGAAGGCAGTGAACGCATGAAAAAGTCACAGTATTATTTTTAGAAAGGTTTGAATGCCAGCCAAGGAGTTTGCTGATGAAGTACTACTTCTAAGCAAATGTTCTTCTCCAATAAAATAGAGCCTGCAAAAAGATGATCGAGATGAGACCCTGTCTTGAGAGCCTGTCTCAGCGGCCCATGTACCAGTTCGATCTCACCAGTGCCTCAGTTCAAGGGCTGGTAATGGGCAGGCTTTGTACACACCCTCTGTGCAAGGATGAATTTTGCCGTAGGAGAATAAAAGCAAATGAAGATAGCCAGTCCAAGGGCTCCACAACAGACAGTACAAGGTTCTGCAAGTTTAGTGGAGATGCTTATCTGAATAAATCTGATGGGTCTTTCACTCCTAAATGTGATCAAGTATTACCTGGGCTTAGATTTTTTCTTGGGTTTGTTTTGCAAAACATTAGGAAAAGTTTGCACACATCTCAAAGAGGCTGCAAAGGGACCCGTACTCTAAGGTGTGCTATCTTACCAATACATTCAGAGAACAATAACCAGAGGTGGTCAACAACGGTAGCAGAGGCCAGCAGTTTGGCCTGACAGCCAGGACATGACACCCTTAAGAGAGGACGGATGGCTTAACATCCACACATCATGATGATCCCAGCCACCTTTCTATATACACTAAAAGACATCTAACTTCCTAAGATCGTGTTGTGTTTGCCTGCTCAGGCTGTGCCTGAACAGGAAAAAATAGGCAGTTGATGAATTTCTAAGAACCTTTGGCTAACCCTGAAGCAGATCCACTTGGGAAGCCAACCACGCTGATATGCTATGGAGTATTGAGGGCAAGCAAGAAAGAAAATAGCAACATCCTGATGCACAATAGGTTGGATCTGAGGGTATATACATTCTGTCCTCGACGCACAGGGATTAGGACAAGCTTCATCTTCAGGATTAGACCGATCACAAGGGATTTGTTAGATATCCGTGAGCTGAAGCCCAGCCTTTCATCATCATCATCATGTTTGTATAACTTCCATTGGCATTAGCAGGAACTAAACATTCCTGTGCACTGAGGGTAAGATGGAAATCATGAGTGATGGTGGTCAGGAAGGTGCTCGGTTGTGTTACACCTACACAAAAAGGTGCAATCCCACACGCTCACGATAAGGGGTCACAATCTGGGAGGTGCCCCTGCAGCTACCTGTCCACCACGTCAAACACCAGCTGAATCTCAGAGGAATATGCAGCTCCTTGAGGCTCCTTTCAAAAACCTGGCCTGGATTTCTGCATTGCATCCATGGTATTTTTTTTCCCTAATTGTCTATTTATTTGTTACTGTAATTCATGCTGGTGAAATGGTACCATAAAAATGTGGTTCTACTTTCTAAACACTGAAATGAATGTTCACCATATTTACAGCTACTGAGTAAAATTAGGACAGCAATAAAATGTTAGACAATGACATTTAATGTTACTCCATTAATAGATTTTATCACTTTTTTTTTTAATCCTACCACAACAATGTGTATTTTCATATACATTATATTTAATAAAATGTATAGATATGGAATTAGGAAAACATGGGTTTAGTTCTATTTACATATTTTACTGGAAACAATTTTCTTAACAACATTGAAAAATAGAAACTTAAAGTTCTCTTAATTGTGTTTTCTGCCAGTTAGTGGTAAACAAATGCATGCCTTGGAAGTTAAACTCCCTCTAAAACGTGGTCAGTTGAAAGTTTCTAACTAAAGTGTGTATCTCTGTTTTTGTTTCAAAAAATACATAAGTATGTCTGTCATTTCTGATACAAAATTCTACACTATCTTCAATAAATAAATAATAAAGCGATTCTGAAAAGTATGAAATGTAAACTTTGTTGTCCCTCCAACATACTTTTTTTTTTTTTTCCCATTGCTTGAAACATTACAGTGGTATTGTAGGAAATTATAATACACAGACACTTTCCAGCACAGTTTACACTTGTTACCATACTGCATCTACCTATTTGTTATGAAGATAATCCTAATTTCCTAATGGAAATCAATAAGACTTGTAGTGCTAGAAAACACCGCCTATACAGGAAAGGTGGAAACCAGTACTGAAAGGACATGCAAGGAACATCAAAACCTAACAACAGGCTCCACAAGAACATTCACATGCTAATGAAACAGGCTGACACCTCCCATTCAGAAATAAAGTCATTACAAAAATACCAGTGTATGCATGATAGGTAATGAACAAAATGAATCCAGGCAGAACAAAGATGAATTTTACTCTTAAAGGGGTCTATCGTATCTCAGGTCCGGGCTTAGTAAAGCACCTATGTGTGTACTTAAGGGAAACACAACATAAGTGCATGCTTAAAGCTGGGTGCTTTGCCAAACAGAGGAATTTTGCTGAATGTTGGCCTATACGTGTGTATTTGTTGAGTAAAACTCATGTAGAAACTTTTGATTCCCCAAGACAACAAGACTTTTACTTTGGGGTTACCCACTCTGTACAATCACGAACTCTCTGCTTCTCTTCACATCTAGTATCGCTGCCACCACACTTGTGACCAACCCGGCTTGCAACAAACCCTGTTGTGAGCTACAGTGTGCTATCACCCTGAATTCAGTAACATGATGTCAAATGCAGTTAGGCACCGTACAATTTAATAACGGGTCACCACTGATTGCTTGGCAAACTAGACTCTGCGGGGTAGAAATTAGCTTCCTGAGCCACAGCCATGATTTTTTTTCTTCCCCACTGCAGGTGACATATCATCCATCTGCGTTCACAATTAAGCAGCCGTAGTAAAGCAGTATTGAAGTGTTATAGCACAACATTCATCAGGGCTCTATATTCGATCCTTCACTCTCTGTTCAAACACTTCTTCTGAAGGTACTGAGTGGGTGTACTCTTCTGGAGTGCAACTCATCTCTGTGCAGAAGGCCTGTATATATATTTATTTTGGGGGCAATGTGAGTCATGAAGTGGTATCTTAATAGAATCTTCTCTGTTTATAGATATAGACTATTTATTTTCTAAGTCTTTTCAGCATCACCGTGAAGATCTTCAAAGATCTTCTTACTGCATAACTGCTTGTTCCATTCACAAAACATTTACACACCACCTTGCTGAGCAATAGGCACAGAATTCCTTAAGGGGGAAAACCCTGCAGAAAGCCTCCAAACATACCAACATTGCCTTCTTCTTGTAAATTATAGAGTAGCTGGAGCAAGCACAGAAACCTATGTGGTTTTCCAGCCTTTCTGACTGGAGCACGACAAACAACTAGGTTATTTCATAAACCCAGGAAACTAACATCAGGTTCCACATAGAGAAATTGAGGGAGATTTCCTCACTAAACTGGGACCCATTTTTCAGTGAGAATTATCAAGGCACAAAGATGCTCCTGTTTGCTTTGATAACCCTCTTGTGTGTGAAGGGCAAGCAGTAGTTTCATACCAAACCAATAAGGATTTAGTGACAGCTTCTGCAGACACCTATTGCAGTGAACTCAGACTGAAAAAAAAAACAAACAAAACATTGGTCCCTTTCCTTCTAAGGCTCATCAAACAATTGCAGGTCTAGTCGGACGACTATCTCTCCTGTTGGGACTTCATGCAGAAGGAGACACTTTGTAACTGGTCCCTTTGAACCCTGATCCTTCTTAATGTCTGCCACACGGATCTCTGTTCTGCCCAAAAAGTCTGAAATGCAAAAAGACAGCATGCTTAGAAATAGAACAACCATTTTATGTTGCAGTAAAAATGCTAATGTGCAGAAGGAATTAAGCTTCCATCTACACATAACAAAAGAAGAAAACAAGTCTTCAGTCCAATTACATTTTTGCAGTTGAAATAGGCCAAATGCCTCCTATCTGCACAGAAGAGAATTTCATCTGGACCGTGTTAGACAGCAGAAGTATTTAAAAATAAATGGTGCCACAAGCAGAAAAATCCACTGTGTACTTCACAGCTGCCTTGCTTAAGTAGCTTATTTATTTTATGACATGTTAGAGAAAAGGCCGAAGGTCACTGCACAGTTCGAACTGAGCGTGAAGCCTTCAGGAGATGATAGAGCCAAGGAATGCATTGCACTAGTGACAAGGTCACTGGGGCAATCTGCACTGGTCACATGAACGACAGTCCTATCCAAACACTTCCTCAGAGATTATGACTCCAAAATACACTCCTCAATGCTCAATACGTCTACTGCAGATTATGAAATAAGCATGGGGTAGGTTCAATCTTGGGTTCATTTCTGCCACTTTCACTGCTTGTTACAGGAACCTGAAGACATTTCTTTTCTTCCTCCATGAATTTATCCATTAGCAAAGAGCAACCAGAGTTCCACCTAAAGGCTTAGCAAAAATGCAAACCACTCTTCAGTTGCTGCCAAGTTGCACAAGAAGGGAAATCCCCCAGAACAGATCTCCCAGTACTAGCATGACTAGACTGGGGGCTGAGGGTGAGTCAGGCCCCAAACATGCAAAGGGGCTCAATATTTACCTCAGCAAGCATACACCTCTTCAAAATGGGAGACTTGAAAATACCCTTGGAAGGGTGGCTGCCCCCTGCTTACCATCTGGGGAGAACTGGTCCCTCTCAAACACCGTGATGCAGAGGACGTCCTGCTCGAGGTCTTTGATAAAGAACTGGCAGTTGGAGTTCCACTTGGGATTGAGGGTGTCCTGTATCGTCTTGGTAATGTGGCACTGAGAGCCCATCGTCACCTCACAGTATGGGTTACTCTTTCCTGGGAAGAAGGAAACAAACAGAAAAGTGTAAACACGGTTTCAAGAGTGTGCCTGAACATCCTCTTAGTCCTATAGCCAACTGTCTGTGCAAAGATGGTGGCCTCACTGCCATTTCAGTAAACAGGGACACAGTTCTGCAAGGTGTTGAGCACTTTCCACTTTTCATTTCAGGACTTTGTGGCTTATTATGTCTTTGATATGATTTGATTGACATGGTAGAAGCTAAGTTTGCCTGTACCAAATGCTCAAGTGCACGACAACTGCATTGCCACTACTTAACTGCACAGAATCACGTCTATGTATTTCAAGTTCATTAAAACTGCTTTATTAAACAAAACCACATTTTAGACAGAGCCTCCTTCAAAGTTAGTCTGACAAATAGGAATGTCTTCTTCACAGAGCACTTTACACAGTGCAAGGCACTTACCATGGGACCTGCAAGGTTTTAGTTCAATGCCTTCAACAATATTGACCATCAGTCTCCCAATGCCTGTTGCTCTTTGCGAGCGAACTGTGGTGAAACAGAAGAGGAGAGACAAAACTCATTAATGTATTTTCCTGCCCACAGACTTCCCCACAAAGGATGAGAGCCCCTGCACCGCGTGCTGTACCTAAGTAGGCTTTTTCCCTCTTCTTCTTTTCCGTCTCTATGTAAAGTTCCGAAGCAGCTTTAATTTTCTGAACCCAGGCAGTCCTTCAGAAGGAAAGGAAAAAAAAAAAGTTGCAAAATACCGTTTCCATTTTTCCTCCCTGGTGCACTGCAGACAAAAAAGTAAAGCTGGCCCTCTTTCCCAGCCGCTTGCAGTCTCAGGCCCTGACCCCACCACAGGCTGAAGCTGTCTCCCTGGCAGAGATCTTATTGCAATTCACAGCACCTGCAGAAATTTAATCATCCCAGCCTAGCAGATCCCGTCACACAATGCAAGCTCCAGAGAACTACGAACAGGAGAGGACATGGTGAGAAACCAAAAGACAGAGGTAGCAGGTTTGCTTTTCCCAAGCCTTTCATTGCTCAGAGGAAACAGCCCCAAGAGGAAGGCATGGTGAGAGACACGTGCCCCGGGAGGCACAGCCTAATGACTCCTGGGCTTTACTAACCTGTGGGGATTATGCTGCCTGAAGAACTGGCTGGGCTCAAAGAGTATTTCGGAAGGGATGTCACTAAGAAGAAGGGCAAGCTTTGTAATTGTAGTTAGGGAAATAATTTCCTACTTAAGAGTCTGTGTGGAAAGCTGGACAGAGAAAAAGCATGGAAGAAGGGGTCCTATAGATCTGAAGTGTTTGAAAGGATATCCTGTGACATACAAGGGAGCCCAAGACCTGAGTCAAGGCAAAATGAGAGAACAGAGCAGGCGTGAATCAATTTCTGATCCCAGAATTAATTGTTGCTGGTCTACAATGCACTGTGCCTACTTACAGTGGCCTGGATTTGGGTTTAAACATGCGCCTGTATTCTCCAGAGGCAACTGTTTAAGAAAACAAAACACTTAAGGACAACTTGTCTTCCAGCTCACCCCTAAATGGTAATTGGCAGCTTCAGAACTGTACCAAGATTTTGATCACACGGGTCTTTTAAGATTAAATGGGCACATAAATCACTCATTGATGTTATCTTTTTTTCTGTTGCTCTTAATTAAAAACAAGTGAATGATAAAAACTTGGAGGTATCTCATCTAAAATTCTGAATTTCTGCTGAACAAGCTGTCTAGGATAAAAGACAGTCAAAGGCTGTACCCCATATAAATGAAAGCATATTAGAAGAGTGCTTAAATTCCGATTTCAATTTCTGTGGTTCTCTCTATAGTGAGTGGAGCGAGCCAGGCACCTCCAGGGGGCGTTCAGCATTTGATTTGTCTGTTTCCACTGATGGGTTAGGGTAGCATCTCCCTTGAGTTCCTCAGGCTAGGCAGGATGAACGTGGATCAGAGTTTAGATGTTTCTGACTACTGCAGTGAGTGCTCTGACCCACAACATGTGGTTATTGTTATAGTCTGATTTGCACAACAGATCCTAAATTGAAAAGGCTATGTCAATTTTCATCAGCAAGAATCTAACCCTGATGCTTGTTCATTCTCTGGCATAGAGGGACAGACAGCATCCCAAAGGACAAATGGGATCCATAAAAATACAATTTTTTACAAGAATAAATACATGTGTGTAACTGATAATGAATAATGCTTGCAGGCAGACAGGGAACACCAATATTTTATAATCTTTCATGCATTAGAATTTTTACAGGCAACACATTTGCAAGGTGGCATAATACTGTCAATACTATGTAAGATTTTTTGCTGGATTTTCAGCCTCCATTTTTTTCTTTTGTTTACCTCTATTGAAAAGGTTTGTCTGCAAAAATGTAAGTCAGCATAAGTCTTTTTAAGCTTGCCAGAGACACAAATCATCAGCAGAGTTTTTGAGGTTGTCATTCTTCTCACTTCTTCATTCTGAACTGAATCAGGTTAAAACTAACTGGGTTTTGTTTCGTGTGTTTTTGCTTCAAGTTTTAATGCAGACTTGTTCCTGAATCTCATTCAACATACAGTCATACAGATGCTTACACTGGCACAAAAACTCCGATGGATAGTAACAGAAGATAGGACTGAATCTCTTAGTTTCCTTATGCTAACATGAGATGTGAAATGTGGCCTATCATATCAGCCCTCATAGACATTTCATTGTTGGTCTTACTGGAATTCAGGAAGCATCATTATTTCTCAATCCTTTTCATGAGTGTCACCACATTCTCAAGCACAAGGAATTATCCAGTGTTGTGGTATTAGCTGCTTGGAGACTGTTATGCATGTGTACATCAAATACATTTGTATCAGACTTTTCAAATTCAGGACTAACATGGCCTGTGCAGGTACTTACCTTTCATTAATGCTTTCAGCCCGGAGCGTATAGACTCTATCAATGTGGGAGATATGGAAGATGGGCTCATCTCCAGAAGGGTCTGTGGGTAATTTTACTAGTACCTCATTTAGAAAAATGGGCTGTAAAACATTAGGCAAAGCTAGAGTTCTATCGCACAATATCCGAACAGATACATTCAATAAAGAGCAATTCACAACAGATTTTTTTTGTGCCTACACTATCTTCTCCCCTTCAGCCTGCCTCCCGTCTTTCTTCAGATATGTCATTTTTTGAATTTTCTTTTTATTAAAGATATAGGTGCCTCCACAGTCTGGGAACATTTCTCCTGCAGTAATAAAACAGCCTTATGGCGCATAGAAATCTCTCCTTTCCCACAAGAAGCAGCAAACACTACTCTCTTCATCACTCCCTGTTACACAACCTCTGTTGAAGAGGTTGTTTTAGCCAATCTTCAAAAGCATCTTCTCTCATCTAGCTAAGCAAACCACCAGCTTGCTCACCATCAGTCCCTGGAATCCCCAGCATATGCCAAAGCCTCCAAACCTCTTCTATATAAAAGCTACTGCCCACATGTCCACCATGCTGGCTGCTGCCTCCTGTACCTCCGTTAGCATAAAACTATCTTAGTCACTGCTTAAGAATGGTACTTACAGTTTTGTACATTTTGTATTGCAGGTTAGACTTGGGGCTGAAGACCTTGTCTGTGCCAGAGGAGCCAAGAGGTTTTATGATCTGAGTCAGGAGGAGGAAATCGTTGAAGAGAAAGCCATACAGTTCCTTGTTACTCTTGGCTTTATAGAGTTTCCCACTGTGCAGAAACTTGCGTGGTCCCAAGCAGTTTGTAACAGAATTAAATACGAGTTGCTGCGAAAAGTAGAAGAAGAAGAACAACGCACTGTATAAAGTAAAACAATCGAGGTTCCCCTGAAAGAGATCAAATATAGTTTTGAGTCCTGATGTTAGTTTTAAGTTGTGTCACAGGGATGATGAGCGATGTCTCTGCCTTGTGCATGATAAGCAGCGCATGTTATAGAAACACTATATGAAAATTAAGGCATCCCATCAGTTGCGCAGAGCATGTCCTGAGCAGTCAGAGAAAAGCCAAAAGCATTTGTGCCTCCTTTTGAGTTTCTCTGCCACACACATGCATTTCTGTGACTGGAACCGAGCTGATGACGCAGCCATCTCCCTTCAGGCAGTAGTTATAACAAGCTGAACACAACTTTGACCCTGAAATAGTTAGATTTTGTAAGAAGAAAAGTAGTGCTCTCCAGTTCATAAACCAAGCAGCACTTACTATTTTTTCATCTTTTGAACTGAAAGCTCTATGTATATTTTGAAAATCAAGTTGTGATCTGTCTGCCTCTATCTTCACCAGTAACAGGGTATAATAACAGAATCAAAGTATCCTCTGTCCACCACAAATATTTTCATTATAGTTTCAGTAGAGAAGCTTAGCATGTTACCTTAAAAAACTAATGTGCATTAGCAGGCAGTGATTCTCTAGGCAAAGTCTTGAGAGAGACTTGATCAGCATTCTTGAGCTTTCAAAATGTATACAAAGTTTTATCACAGAAAATAGTTTCTGTGATGAGTTTTAAAGAACTCCAGGATGGGCAGGCATAGCTTCAGGATGAGATACAGCAGTACAACTGTCACTGTATTGTAAAGAGCTATGAAACTGAAAGGTGGTTGAAAATTGCAGCATTTAACCTGGCACTAGTCCAGAGGCAGGAAACAAAAGCAGCATTTATCACATTGAAGGCAATAACAAGAGCAACAAAAAGGATTACATGCACGAGTGAAAGGGAACCAAAGAAGGATGAAAACAAATGAGTAAAGATTATATGATTTGATTACATCGTTTGTCCCTTGATGCAGTGCCATATGTGAGCCATGGGTTCTTCCCAAACAGTGAAGTGTGCCCACATTTGCATTACTCTAGATAGCATGTTGTTTACCTCCGACAGGCCTTCACACTGAACATGAGCCTGGATCCACTCCAGCCTATCTGAATTTTCTTTCTCCCGCACTCCTTCATTTACTTGAGAACACAATTCTTCTGCTTTCTCAAGAGCGTGCTTCAAGTGACTGTGATCAGGGTGGTTTTCAGGAGTGTTTTCTATTATCTACAGGTAAATAAAATATGTTAGCTTTTTTTATTATCTGCAGTTAAAATGCGTTCATCTTGACAGCCCTGAACTCTTGCTTCTTTTCTTAATTTTCATCAGAGCTAGCCAGCATGTTCCACATTTCTCTTCCTGCTTGACAAACACGAAAAATAAGAGACAAACTCACAGTTGGTATGTGAACAGCTGAAATTAGTGCCTGTCTGCAGAGCCTTTCCATCAGCACGCTGCTCACTCTGCTGACATAAGTATGCAAATTCCAGCCACAGAAACATGTCCATGGCTGATTAAGGAGTCTCTTAAATGCCAACATCCAATTTGTAACTGGATTATTTCCTATGAAGGTCTGGGGTCAGTTTCAATAGTATTATTCAAGATGATAAGTGTTAGGCAACAAATGAAAGTTAGGAAAGGGTTATAAATTATCCAGTAATGTAAGCTGTGCAGTACGGTAACTTGCAACGATTTGGTATTCAGGCTTGCACAATGAATGCCATTTATGAGACTGTGGGGAGGGAATGACACTGGAAAAAGGCAAAGATGAGCATAAAATAGACCTAGTACTCCCATTTTCAGAGTTTTAAACTTTTCATTCAGCTTTTACTGCCTTTTGGTTCTTTGTGTGCAAGTTTCACCTCAGTTTCTAGCAGAAATCCAGACTCATTTTTTTTGAAGCCAAATGAGTTTCTGCATTTGCTCTTAGTGTGATCAAATATAGAAGGGCACCCCACTTTCCCTAGTATATCAGATATCTAAGAGGGACAAAGCTCAACACAAAGAGGGAAACTATCCCGTAATTAAGCTGTAAGCAAAGCAGCATCAAAAACATCATCTTTGCAAAAGAACGTACATTTTTAATTATTAGTGGGTATCTTGTTACCCGTTGCATAGGCTTTAGTAGAAAACTTGATAGTGGCATTCCTTTACAGCGAGGATCCATTGCTAACCTCTGAAACATTAGAGAGGTAAAATGGTGTTAGTCAGTTTGCTTAAAACCCAGCAAAAAAAGCTCCTCTAAGAAAGGAAAAGGCAACAAATGAACATAATGCTCCAACTAAATCTGTTAGATCACAAACAATGCAGTAGAATTTATTGTATTTTACGAAATATTCTTCACCTATCTTGCCTGTACAGGAGAAGGGCCTCTTCTTATTATTATTTTTCCAAGTCCCAGCATGTTACTGCAAAACCATTCCTAAACAAACTATTTTATGGCTCTACAGTTTTTTGAAAAAAGGTATTCCTTTAATGAAAAAATGCATGCCTTAAATGAGTGCTTAAGTCTGAAGACTCTTCATTCTAGCCCAAAAGAGGGAGACTATGCATGTGAAATTAGAAAAGCAATGAGCTAAACTTATGGTGAATAAAATTCATGGTGTTTGCTTCTTCTCTTACTTTAACGAACTCCTTGAACTCAGGAACTTCATCTGTTTTCTGCTGGATGAGGGCTGCCCCATTCAGCTGGCAGCTACAGAACCGAATGTACGGCTGCATGTGTGGCAGCTGGGCTGTCAGTATGTCACCAATCATTTTCACTGGCATCTTCTCCCCAGACATCTTCTTACGCACTCGCAAAGCCCTAAATATGAAAAGGTCATGGGTGTTTTATACGCAGGTAGACCACTAAACAAGAATTCCTGATTTATAAAATAAATTATTTGCTTCTTATTCATTACTGAAATGACAAGACCTCTGAATAATAAATAGATCAGCCACAAGACTTACATGTATGGCATATTGTAAGAACATAACAATCAATTTTGCACCCTCAGCCAATATCATTTCCCCCCTGAGGTCACCAAACTATAACTTGGTATTAACTTATCACAAAGCCAGATCAGACACAACATAAAAGGGAATGTAATTTCCCTTTCTATTCATTTAGAGAGGACAGATATGCTCTTGAATGAGGGATAAAAACAGTACCACTTCCTTAAGCCCAAAGCTACCCAGTTTTTAGCCTGGTTTCCTAAGGAAAAGGAGGTTTGTTGTTATCAAGCTGCCTTTGTCCTACCACTGTCATAACTCATCATATTGGTGGCCATTTTCAAACACATTCTACAAAAGAGGAGATATCTCAAAATTTCTAAGTCTCTATAAGTTCAATAAAAAACAGCAGCTCAGTAGGGAAAAAAAAAGGAAGTTTATTAATCCTCCTACTTATGAACATGAAGGTTTAACTCAATCCTTACTCATTTTGTCTGGCAATGGCCAGATGAGCAATCAGATGAGCATGCCTCCAAACCAACCACAGAATTTACTGTGCCTTGCTGAAGCAGTAGGGATGAGTGAGAAAGATGCAGGTAGGAAGACAGGATCCACCAGAGGCCACAGAGAATGAAGGGAGAAATAAGGGTACTTGCACTGTGTGGAGTTTCATGGTAGAGAGTTGGGGCTGCAGTAGTTGGAGACTTTGGAAGGAAGGGTGCAGGGTACACTGGACACAAATCCATAGGAAACCAGGCTTTGTTGGCGACGCTTCTCACAAAACAGCTCATTCAGATGTTATAAGCCTACAATAACTAAAGGAATACATCAGCTAACTCAGAATTAGGGAGGCAGAGACTGTTGTACTTTGCTTTCCAGTCACAGGTAATAGGACTGGAACTGGATATTGGGCTGTGACTGAGATAATAGGAAGTAAACGTATGGACTGTGGGTAGCCTTGACAAGCACTGCTCTTCAGGAGAAGTTGACCTTGCCTTCTGGAGTACGGGCACACCAAGAGCAAAGTACGTGCAAATACTCTTTTGGTGACTATTTTTGTAAGTGGCAAATATTTTCATGCAGCTAAAAGTAGAACAGGGGGGAGAAGACCATGATTTTTTAGTTGCTAAGTAAGGGGGGGGGGGGGAAAAAACTTACTTCAGTAGTTTTATATTGCACATAATCAGCTCCTTCCAATTAACAAAAATCATAGCAACTTCTTTTTCTGTTAGCAGCTCAGATTCCATTAGTGGTTTCTGGAATATCTATAGATTCAGAAAATTAAGCAATTTAGAAAGCATGTCTTAAGTACAATCGAAGTGACTAAGGCTGATGATGTCTAAGGCTTCCTTAGTCTGGAGACAAGACAACGTTACATCAGAGTAGCATGTGATACTCAGTGGAACAGACTTCAAGCGTGCACTGTGCCCTAAAGATCCACGGTGCTCCCTGACGATATCTTTGTAAGAAGCATATTTATTTAAAAGAGAATGATCTGAATTGGTGTTGGTGGTGTTCATTATGACCTGGATAACCTGTTTTAAGCTTGGGAATTTTAGTCAGATGTCTCCTGTAAAATATCCCAGAACTACTTTGATAATACAACTGAAAATACATGTGAATTTGGACTCCTTTATGGAAGTTGTGATTTACATAGTGTCTCAGGCTTGCATACCTTGACCTCTTTTTCAAAAAAGAGCCAGGTTTGTATACCTTGATCTCTTTTTCAAAAAAGAGCTTTCACTCTCTATGAAAAGAATTACCCACAGCAAAAGCCTATACAAATTCCTTTTTTTTTCACATGTGAGATGTATTTTGTAACATTTAAAGAGAAGCAGAGTAAATGATAACTGAGTGCCACTGTGAATGTGGAGACTGGTGCATAACACGCCTCAAGCTTTAGGAGCTTACACGTGAGAAACAAAACTTCAAAATCTGGAGTGAAAAGTGTTTACTGGAAAGATAATTTAAACATCAGTGTTTTGGTGATGGTAACGCAAGGGTTTACCACTAGTTACACACAGTCCATATATAGTTACACACACTCCCATATAGGCATATATGTATGTATGAAGATTTAATACAGATCATTCCTAGGAAGTCCAACAGACCAGTGATGTCAAATGACTTTGCACAGTGAAATTATCAATCCATTCAAAAACATGAGTGAATAAAACCTCCTCCTAAAAATGCTGCTCCTTCTTACCTCTGTGACCAACTGCAGATCATTTACATAGTTCTCTTCTGTGACAATGAGCTCATGGATGTACCCCTGCCTTTTCCTTTCAGTAGGTGTCAACATATCCAGAAGATGCAAGTCTGCACACCCTGGAAAACACAAAAGAATCCTAGATTTCACTTATGGTCACTTTCAAATTGATCCAGATTTGTAGTAGGTCAAATAATGCTTAATGAACAGTAACTACTGCCTCTCCATTTAAACATAACTCACATGTAATGGCACAATGCTTACAATACTTGATCCCTTAGTGACTCAAAACATTGTCTCTGACTTTTTTTTTTTTTAATCAAGGCCATTTCTAGGTGATAATTAGTTAATAAGGCAAGTGAATGGAGGTCTCATGGAGGTCTCGTTAGAATGAAAGCATGCAGTCCAGACACAACTAAAGCAGACTTCCCTGTGGCATTAACAGGATTTCTAAAAATGTCTCTTCTCTGGTGGCAAACCTTAAAGTCCTCCTCACCACTACCTGCCCATTTCCAACCTCTCTCCGAAGTTCACTGTCCCTTTAGGTGTGTCATTCAGCTGGAACCACACTGTAAAATAAATCTCCAAATGGATTACTGTTAATAAAAAGGGGGGCAAAGACTTCACCTGGCTTTACTGCCAAAGAACATACAGCTTTGTTGCTTTGTCCTAAAAAGGAACGGAATTCAGGAAGAGCACTATAGTGACCCTTAATGCTCTGACGGGAACTTTGGAATTTCAGCCGTCTGCATATTTATACTCTGAATTCAAGTTTAGCCTTAATCAATCTAGTCAAAGTAGGCATCCTCAACAAGATGGTACTGTAGGGTTTATTTACTTCTTCACATCTCAATTAAAAATTGCTTCAAAATTTTTGAAGAATCTGAGCCAGAACACATGAAGGTCAGTGGAGATCACCTCACACATTTCACTAACTTATAGACCAAGCCAAAGGGGTTGATTATTGTTCTCCTCTACCTTTAAAAGCATGAGAAAAACTGGTAATAAAGAATTCATCTTCTACCAGTTTTTTCCTTTTCTTTTTGAAAACCACCACCTGTGTATTTGTCCTCTGTAGATTCTTGAATTTTTATACTACAATAAATTTCAAACTTCATATTCTATTTTCTATTCTGAAATACAACAGAACGTTTAGTTACATTTTTCCCTGTAAGATAGTATTTTTTCAACACAGATCAATTCAATTCTTCTGAAACTGGCAAGCAAAATATTTTCTTCCCATCTTAACACTCTTAACACTATTTTTGTTATGTTTCTGTATTAAAAAATGTATTTCAAAAATAAAAGTTGCTTTGAAGAAGGTTTAAAATATTTTTCTTTAAGTATTGACTATGACACAATCAAAATTCTTCAGTTTAATTCTTTCCCCAACCCCTCAATAAAGTACTGGCAAATTCAGTATATTCCCCATCAAAACAGTTTTTCCTATTGAAGAAGATCTGACTGAAAACATTCAGTGAGACCTTTGCTTCATGGGGTTTTAAATGGTCAAAGCTTTTTATTTTTCACTGTTCACCAGCATCAATCATGACACCAACACAATGAGATCTAATGGGTGTATTTTTAGATCACACGTTCTCAAATGCTTTCATAAAGCGAACCACTACTGCTCCTAATGGTATCATGCCCTGGACAATTCTTTCAGTTCTTTGCACATAAAGTTAATAAGTAGATGGTATCTCTTGCATTGTTAGCATTTCCTACATTTTTAGCTTCCTGAATGTAATTCAGGAGCTGATTCTGCACAATGCAACCAGCACGGTCCACAAGTATCACCATTAAATTTTTCATGAACTACTTCTGGAACAACTTGCTTTAACTAATCTGGGCTCCAGAAAAGGTTATGAAAAGTTTGATTAAAAAAAAAAAAAAAAAAAAAAAAAGTAGATACAGACAATCAAGGTAATTTCCTCTATATTGGGATGAGCACAGATGGAAGCGTAGCATACTGATAATGCTCCTTTGGGATTCTGTATATTGCAGTCCTTTAAAAGCACAATTCAAACCTTGCTCAAAATAAAAAGGTTGGTTTTGAGAAATATCAATTATCAACTTAATGTCAAAATAATCAAAATACCAGGCACTTTTCAAAAGCCAAAAGTTTCAATTCTGTTTAATAAATGACTGCTTCAAAGCATTCTCTTAGTTATGTAAATCAGAGGTCTAATGAACAGAATCAGTTCTCTCCAAGCAGTGTCAGCTTCATTAAAAGTGAACAAAGTGCTTAATGATTTTTCTCTGGAGACTGGGGAATTTTAGTGTTCAAAGATGCTGATGACCTTGCATTGAAGTGTTGTTTCCAACCACCAGCCTTTTAGAGGAAGCATTTAACATTTTGAACCACAATATTAAAGTGGCTAGCTTGACAGATAGGCAGCTGGGACTGAAACGGGCTACTTTGAACTCCAACAGATGGCCCGTCTTTGAACACTAAGTATTTGGGAAAATAGCCTACTTCAGTTAGAACAGAATATGCAGGAGGGACTTTTCTCATAAAGGATTTTCTTTCTTAGGTACACAAGTACTAAGAATTTTCTCATCTTTGCATCATAAGCACCAAACAAGAGCTGGGTTCCTTTTCAGGTTGAAATGTCAAGGCCATGGGGCTCTAGCTAGTTATTCATGGAAGGCAAAGTACTGTGTAAAGTACTTTTATGAACATCCAAATTCCACATGCAGCTGTAATAATATCATTCATGAATTCATTCCACTAAAAGAAACTCCTTGTAAAGTGTTCTTGATATCAGACATTTCCCCTGACAAATGGGAATGTTCTGCAATGGGTGAAGTCCAGCACCTTACCTTTGCATAGAGCTGGTTGGTATTTAGTTTAAGGCTCACAGTCATTCAGCACAAAGCCATTCAGCTACTTAAAATTAAGCACTGGAATTTGCCTTTTTAATTATCAGAGTTCCCCATTTTATTGTATTTTCTTTCCAACTCTGCAAAAGTGTTGGATTCCATCTGAAAGGCTGCAGAAGCTGAATTTGATTCTTTAACTACAAAAAAATCTAGTAAATTCAGAAAATAATGGAGAACTTAGGATAGCTAATTCAGCATGTTCACAGTGCAGTGAATACAAATTTCTGCCCTTCAGTTGAGTAACATCTATGAATCCAAGCAGTGGCACGCATGCATGCTCACCAGACTGATTATTGTGTCTGGACTTACAGAACCAGCCTACGACTGTTGTACCTAGAAACCTGTCCTTTGATTTCTCATCACCATGGGACCTGCAGAACTGAGGGCTTCTAGAAATGTAAACATGATAATTTAAAATATCATTCCAAAAAGTAAGAGTGTTGTTCCCTTTTCCTTGCAAAGACAGACTCTTCACAACATGGGTCTCAGCTACTCGCTAAGCCAGAAAGCAATCCACCATAGATCGTGTTTCTTCAGAAACAGGGTCCTGCTGTGGAACTCACTGATCTATATAGATAGGCACAATTTCTGATTTCTTCTAATCTGGGGAAATTTTCTAAACAATATAGCTGGCAGATTTCACCATAAACTTCATACTGGCCCAGTCCATAACGACAAGATCACAGTAGACAGGAGTCTGTTCTATTATAGGGAACCAGAAGCAGTAACAAATTACATCACGGTTTTCCTCCCAAAGCTTAAGCAAGGAGAAATTGCACACCTGGCACCTCAGTAGCATTCCTTCCCTCAGACAGATTACAGCGTTTGAGCATTCATTCTTCTTATCAACCCACTTCAGATACAACCACCAATTTCCTGCACACATCTCGTGGGATGGGCCTGCTGCTGAGACTATTTCAAGCTTTTGCTGAGGACAGCTGGTGATCCAACAGACATTTCCTTCTCTATCTTCTGTGATGCAAAATTACATTTCACAGCTATTTTCGGTGATTTCAGCATGTTTAGAATATCTTAACAGGACCAGTATGCCCACTTACTGGTACAGCAGAGCATTTCCCCCGAGGACGTACAGAAGTAGGATGAAGAAACAAGCCTGGAAAGTCCCACTTGCAAAATATTAAACACAGCTTTGTTTTCGCTAAGACCAGGCACCAGCAACACATGTACCTCCTCCTCCTGTTCACACTGATCAGCTATTACCAGGGAGAGGGAATGCCACTGCCAACCCACACAGGCCAAAAAATAAACTCAAGGATCTTGTGTAACATTTTTTATTTTTTTTAATTCTAAAACATGCCCTAGTGCTAAATGCTAGTTGTGTAGTATTCAAAAATATACACTTTTGATTCGCTACCATCATCTTCGTTTTGCAATAGCAAAATCTTTCTGCAGAGTCTTTTTGCATTAGTACCTTATTTTTATGCAAAAATTTGTTTTATAATTAAATCAAGGGAAGGTGGGGAAGAAGACGGGTGAGACAGTTGGGAAGGCAACCTTCTAAATCCTTTCGGAAACTAAGAGAACATGTCTGCCACTCCCCTTCCAGAATCCTCTAAGGGAGAATAAAATCCTGTGTGTCCACCTTAAAATATATAGCAGCAAGGACATGGATACACCTAAAAATATACAGTGGCAGACTTAACCGATTCCTGGACTGGTTTATCACATCAGATGACTTGAAATCTCACCTCTGAATTATGACCCAGGACCTATCTTGAGCCCCTGACCGCTTCCTGTACAGTAACAGCAAATCAGTCAAGAGCATCAGGCACAGGTCCAATCTGAAGGAACTGCATAATCCAGTCTTAAAATGGTGTCCGCAAAAATAAAGATGTCATATAGGTACTTTACTTGGGGTCAGAAACATGGTAAGAAGTAATCTGACAGTTCAAGCGTTTCATTAAAATTTCACTTCCTCATACCAATATCCAGCCATCACCTTTCCTGGCTTCAGGTCTTCTCCTCTAAAAAAAAGCTTAAATGAAGTAATCAAACCAGATGGATTTTAATGCTCATCTGGATCCAGAATTACTCCAACACATGAAACTATTTAGCAGAGAAAACTGCACTTGGCAGAGAAGAATGTGACGAAAAAAAAAAAACAAAAAACAAAAACACGAAACCAGGTTTCAGCAAGTAGGGCCAGGGCGCAGAAAACCTTTGTCTGTGGCACTGGTGTGAGCCTGGTTCAGAGCAGTGCTTTGCTCGTGCTAGC